CTTCTTGAATTGACTTGATGAAGAGCTTAACACGTTTCGATAAACGACTCCATGGAAAAGACAATTAAGGAGCATAAGGTATTCAAGAATTGTCTACTCACTTTAGTAGTGGTAAGGTAACTAGATGGTCCAGCCCATCTTGAAGGTGCGGCCGGAATCCTGGCTCCAGCTATTCTCTTCTTACGAGCCAAATTCGTGAAGCAAGGTAGCCTGTTCCATCCCTCAAACCAAACTTAACTGGAGCTATTCGCTTCTCACCCGTAGATATCACAAACCAACACAAGTCAGACCTTCGTCCTGGATAACACGCATATTTTTCCAACCCCCCCCCCCCTTATAACGTTTGATCCAACCCAGAACAGACCACTGAACATTTGTGTTCGCTTAGAGTTTCCTTATCCAATTCCATTGTGTGAATCTTTCCACTGCGGCGCAACTTTCGAACTACGAATTTTACTTTTGGAGATTTTTTCGCACGACCAACACATCAAAGCAGTATTTGCAGTAACTTTATGTTGCTATCATAGAGCCGCCAAGATCTGTTACGGTTACGTGGCGGTCAAGCTGAGGGTTATACCAGCCGAAACTCCGTTTCACAAGCTGAAACCCTGTGAGAAAGACCAAAGGGGACCACTCAGACGAATAGCAACGAGTCAGATACTATGATTAATGGTATTAAGAGATGATCCGGAGGCAGAGTCGTACACTCCTTTGACACATGAGTGTGAAGGCATCACAAGCTTCCATCCAGGCGACCAACGTGTCCCTATCCATGGAGGCAGCGATCTCGCCTTCCCTCAAGGACAGACAGATTAGAAGAGGTCGGCTGTGAAAGCCGCACACGCAGTTCGTTCAGTGGTTGACAGCCACTGCCGGCGAATCAGGCAAGTTCGAAATACAATTAAAGCCTACAAAGAGCTCGGTTCGCTTCTAAACACAACTACAACTTGGATTAGCGCCAAGACTGAGACACCTATTCCTCAGTCCCTTCGACGTCCGGCTAGGCGAGTTAGACTGCTGAATCCTTGGCTCCCGATAAGGTCTCCCAATTAAATCATGCTAGCCATTGGTTGATGAACCATAGTTTGAGTCAAAGGCTACGGTCAAGATACCATAACGAAACCCTGCATTCTCCCATTGCTTTGGAGTTAGACGTTTAAGTTCAAGACTGAACGTGAGAGACCTCAAACAAGCCACCCTCTACCCGAGCAGTTCGTTACTCACCATCCGTTCCCATTCCTTAATTGCCCCACTGCGGACACTCTGTCTACCTCTAACCACTGCTGCGTACGTAAACCGCTGCTAAGAGAAGTAAACTCTTATTAAGCTCAAAAGACCTGGTTACACTGCAGCTTCCAACGTCCATACAGTCTGTCGAAGTTGGCAGCAGGCATCCTTTGCCGCGACTTTCGATCCCATTTCTGTTGACGCATGTTGTATCTCAAAAACGGGCGTACAGGACCCCATTTCAATCATGCATCACATACTGCGTAAGACGAGCTCGGATATTTCACATTTCCTTCATCGGGTATCTGGTGCTGCTGATGCAATGGCTCATGGTATCTATGGTATGGGAGTTTCACTCAACCCCTGATCTTTAAGCGCTTTGTCGAACCGGAAAACAGTTAGTAATCGCATATATGCCCTATAATTGAGTTTTTAAACCATAAATAGTGTATCAAAGTAGTGTTTTCAGTTGCTATAGTTCAGTTCACTCAGAATAAAGATAATATCAGAATGATGGTCACACGTTTGAGGCGATGGCCCAATCAGTTTGTTTGCCTTAAACTGTTTGTTTGTTTTAGCACACAGTGAATGAGTTACGTATTAAAGGCAGTGGATTTCATATATATCCAGATCTCATAGTAGTCAGAGTTTCCCTGCCAATAGCTAGCAACCGCGATTGCACGAAAATGTACCTCAAACGCTGAATAATCGAAAGGCCGAAGAGTGAAAGAGAACACTGATGAAGTGATCAATACCTATGAGGTAGAGTAGGCTTGCGCTGCAGCTGCTCCTTGTTTCAGCTGATTCAAACTGCTATCAAATATAAGACAGCTATTAGCAAAAGAACTCGTTGAGAAGATGAAATAGCGATTCATCCAGGGGAACTGTTGTCTTGACCGATTTTCTGAACAATTTAACCAACACTTCAGCCGATATCTTTCATCACAATCGTTCAGCTGTATTGCCCTTCCGGCACCTAGCTGCAATGCCACGAGAGTTGAGCTTCTACCAAATTGCTTAAGCCTAGACTGAGATACCGGGGTGTGATTCGAACGACGAACCTTCAGGTTAGTAAGTTCGCGTTCTAACTGCTGAGATATATGAAGTTCATCACAACCCAACGAACATGAGTTGGACATCGACGCCAGCCTGCAATCAGAAGAAATTGCAGTGCATGTTATCGTTTCTTCAATGCGACAAGATACCTACCCCGGATGTCTTAAACCCTGCATTCTTTAAAGGTGATAAAGTTCTGATGATCAGTCTTGCAACCCGATCATGGCAGATTTGGAAGGAAGAAAGCGTAGTAGTGAAATGAAACACTTCGACCATGGCGTGTCAAAGCTACTGGTTAGATATGTATTGTGCAAGTTTGGTCCGGCTGGCAACTCTATGGAGTTATGTTGACACTAGAGCACCAGGGAAGCTGGCTTTCGCTACCTGATCATACGGGAATCTCTGCGATCATAGTTCCACCCGCCACATTTTGGACCAGTATTCTGTGTTTGGTAGCCATGTGCCAAATGCTGGTTCATTCGGCAAACGTCTTGAAATCACTAGATCCCTGCATTTAATAAATGTCCCGCGTTTCTGGGATAAAATGATCAATCAACTTCGGATCCCAAATCAGTCAATATTAATAATTAGGCTTCGAAATCAGCCAACGTGACATTCGTAATAGTACGACAATTTCTAACGAATGGAGTATACATTATACTTTCTCTCACATGTTTACGTTAGGTTCTTAAGTGTTTTGTGGCATTATCGACCGCAGTTTAATCGGAGTGGTCCCACTTTTTAGCGCGTTTTGGCATTCACCTACGGTTAGAATGAAATCCTGCATACATGCCACATTTATATCGGAATGGAAATCACAGTGTGCTCAACTTCTCATAGAGTTTAAACGAGATCAATACTGGAATAACCTATGGTCAAAACTGACTTCGTTGTATACCGTGTGTTAATGCCGTTGACTGATCTGCCTGCAGTCACACATCGCAACTACAAGTTCATCGTCACACATGAACAGTGGTCGATCGTTTTGATAAAACGAGCACTTAAACTGACTGGATTTACCGTGGTTCTTCTTGAAAGAGCGCCCACTGAACCTGATCCCACTGGACCCATCTTAGTCTTCTATTGGAGAGTCAACCAAGTTCCCGATTTCACTGGAAAACCTTCGAGGCAATT